ACAAACAAAGAGTTCCCCATCTCTCCAGCATCATCTAAGGCAGGCCTGGAAGCAGCTGTTGAATTAACTGAAGTGGGATCCGGTCTGTAAGGAAGTTAGTTAGTCTAATTGACACAAGCCTATTTTGAGTCTTCGTGACCGGCTTCAGTCCTCTATCAGATAGTTAAGAGGCAATGGTTGATGTGACTGTTCTATTGTATGATTTAGATTTATGGCCTTGACTTTGAATGAGAAGGGAGGAATGAATCTCTTTCAAATAGCAGGCCTACTGGATTCGTCTTGTTTTCTATTCTCCCGTCCTTTCCCCCTGGCTATCTCCTGAGGTAAGTAAGGACTATAGTCAGAGTCAGGGGCGTACCGATGAGTTAATTGATGAGCTAAGGCTGCTTAGACTTTTAGAGTTTCTCACTGACTAAGATATTGATGTTGCTTATTTCATCCCGAGTTGAAGAGTGAAGTAGCCACAGGCTAATTAACATTTCATATTTCAGGCTGTTCGCAACTGAGCTAACGCCCATCATCCTTAGTAAGAAAGATTGAATCATGGTATAGGCTGCTTGAGAAGAGGCTCCATATCTATATCATTAGAAGTATATGAAGATGAAGTAGAGGTAGTCGATCACCAACCCAACTCTTCGCCCCCAACCGGGCATGGCAAAAGGCTCTCTTAACTAGATGAAAGTGCCAGCAAATTACTTATATTCTATTTCTAGTATTTAGTAGTAGTATATAGTATTAGTCAGAATACCCCCAATAAATGGCGGATAAACTGTGTGTATCAAATTAGCTTTCTAGGGATGCGCTTTGGCTCCAGACTTCGGTCTTGGAAAAGAACCTTGCATCGGGCTTTAGCCACATCAAAGGAACGAAGGTTAGAGGCCAAAAAACAAGGTTGAAGGGTATTTACTCTTTCTATAGCAAAGGTAGCTCGTACGACAGGTTACAGATGGCAAATAAAAGAAAATATCCATGCAAACGGGAACGATCACGTTTTGCACTTTCTATCATTACTTATATTTGATATTATAGGGCAGATAAAGAGTGAATTTACAAAATTGTGAGTTCACCGATTCTGGGACTTAGTGACTCTACTTTGAATCCTTTGAATCCGAGGCAACCGAAGGAAGCTCTTTAAATGGGGGCATGGCGTACAAGGAGCGAGAGTCCTTTTCCCATCCTCTTCCAATAAATAGAAATAGTGAAATGCAAATTTACACAAGATTCGTATCTTCTTTCCATTCCAACGGAGAGGGCTTTATCGGAAGCTTTGGTAGCTGTAGCTAGGTTTCTACATGTGGTAGCTCCACTTAGGACTGAAAGTCGAGTGATACGTGGAGGAAGTGGGATCGAATGACAAGGAGAGGAAAGTAGTGGAGCGATAGGATTTCTTTGATACGGGCTTTTTCTTTATTGTTGTCTAACGCCTTTTCTGATCATTAGATGGAAGATTCAATTCTCATCATTAAACGTTGTTGGTTTATCAGTCAGAATCTCGTGGGATCTAGTCCATGAAAGACCTCTCTCCCTACCTCTCCTCTGCTTCTCCTGTTTCCGCTTATGCTGCTTTTCGTGCAACTGTAAGAGCTTAGTTCTCCTCCAATGCTTTTCTAAGACTGCCTCCACGGGGGATTTGTTAAGAGCTCAAATTGGTTGCAGCATTACTATCTATAAATTCTCCCTCACTAAAGAGCATAGAAGAAAGATATTAAACAATTTTGCATGAAAAAAGTAAGTGGTCAATACTCCCCTCTGTCCTAAAAGGAGGATTTCAGGGCAAGAAAGTGCCTATTTAGCCTACTTACTGCTTGACCTACTTACTGAATGTTGAATGCCAAAGCAAGGAAAGACGATATTCCATAGCTTCTGCTTATCCTCGCTTGCCCACCGCTTAGCACGCATACATGTGATTCTTCTTCTATCGGATTAGTAAGCCAAAACAACCCGATGAATCTTTTGTATCGAACGAAAGCCTCATATCCCCTAGCGGAAGCCTTATCTCGTGGAGTCGGCTCTTCCATAAAAGCAGAGTTTACAATATGTATATGTATAGTAGTTTACTAAGAGAAAAGAGGAGCTCGCCAAGCAGAGGTAAGTCAACTACTTAACTAGTCCGGAGCAATGTCCCTATGCTATCTTCCTGTATCGAGGCAAGTCTGCTATCTTTGCCTCGTTGTCTGCTTAGTCTTTCTTTTCTTGACAAGAGAAAATCAATCCTTCCCGACGGTATACCACAATTTCTTTTGTGGCTGGCTCTAGGTTATTTCAAAAAGAAAGAAAAAAAAGAGAGTGAAAGGGTCGACCGTTAAGGGATCTCTTTGACATTATAATGAAGAGAAGATTCTTCTATACCTCGCGACATACATGTAATATGTAGAAGTCTCTATAGTGTAAGGGATCTCTTTTTCTTATAACTATTGTTGTAATTCCTGTATTATATTATATATTCTAAGTCAGAGGCAATAGAAGATTCCATTTTATAACCCTATTAAATCAAGCCTGATCTTGTGTGACGGAATGTAGTAATTCGCCCCAAAAGTGTTGATATATATAGCTAATCTAAGTGGATGACTTTCAGGTTGTTCTTCGGCAGGGAGAGAACGAATTCTTTGTTTGAAGCATGTGACCTTTGGGTGACTTGTATCAGAAGACGAGTTAGCCTTCCTTCAGATAAAGATATTAGGCAGGATGAAATTCCCCTTACCATGTCTTCCTCAGAAGAACTCTGAATTTAGATATTACTAGTGTATAGCATTAGCATTCATTAAGCTATATATGTTTTGAAAAGCCAGCGCCAAAAGTTTGATTAAAGTCAATGTTTGGCTAAGATCGTTTCTGAAAGCTCGAGAGTACACTAAGGGAGATTTCCTTAGAACTTAGAAGCAGCTAATTCAATTGACAAAAATAGAAGCTTACATGGAAAGCACCTCTCACTCTTTTTGATGAGCCAGTTATCCTCGACTCTGATGAGGTATATTCTAGTATATTGAGAATCTGAAAGCAGGAGATCCTTATTTAGAGTTCATTCTTTACAGCTTACAGAAGAAAAACAAGTTGTAATTCCCTAGCTAAGCAAGGCCGGGTATCGGTATCCTAAATTAGGATAAATAGCTTATTAGAGGTTGGGGAAGGGAAAGAGAATTAGGCAGTCAAATGCAAAAATGAAAAGAACTCTCAGCTAATTAACTGGTACAAAAGAGAAAGATAGGGATGGAATCCATTCGCTTAGCTCGTATTCTTTTATTTCACTTGCATGGAAAGCTACTATTGAATTATAGAAGTAGATAAAGGATATAATTCTTGGTTTACCTTGGTACTAGCAGCTTTACAAGCAGGAAAGAAAGAGCTGGTTCGTTAGGAGCAGGTTTTGTTTGAAATACCCGAAAGAGGATGAATGCCTAATGCTAATTCGGAACTGGTTGGTATCGTTAATAGTTGATAGTTGCTGGATAGGGATAGGAAGGAACTCGACTCTTTTATCCGAAAATAGAAAAAGAAAACCTGGAAAGAAGAGAAAGTGCTAGCATCAATGGCCTGCCAGTTTATCCGACTTGCTTTGAAATTCCTTTAACTGTCAGTCAACTAGTTGATAGCTGCTAATTTAGCCAAGGTTCTATTTAAAGCTAGTTACGTATGTACGAAAGTTGAAGCTGAACGATGGACTGTAAAGTGAAAGTTTAAGTAATGCTTTCAAGCGAAGGCTATCATTGACAGATAAGGGAAGATCCGACACCGAAGAGGAATTAACAGAAACAGATATTCTCAAATGCGCGTTAGCGGCTTAATAACCGTGGACTGCATTAAAGCACGGGGACTTGGTAGGACAGCATGGGATGGCCCTTCTTGAACTAACCGGAAAGAAGTAAAGAAGTACAGGTTTTCTTGCTAGGTTCGATGAAGTTTGAGATGATGCAATTTCAACATTGACAAAAAAGAAAGACTAGAGAGAAAATCTCTATGGTTGTTTATAAACGCTGCACGCTCCTTAAAGAAATGTCGTTGCTTGCCTATCTCAGTAGGAAATTGGAACAGTCTCCGATTTCAAAGGCGAAGCTGCTACTACGTTCGGTTCGAAAGCTGAGGTCGCCCCTATCACTGGTGAAAGAAGCAAGACTCGGTCCAGTTCTAAGGCCTAAGGCTAAGTCCAGAAAGGCGAGGTGCTGCTTCCAAGCGGAGGTTCTAGCATGTCTTACTAAAAGAGTAAGCTAGCGGTTTGCAACTAATTTAGTCAGAGTAGCAAATAGACAGTGTTAATCATTCATTTAGTAAGCCCCTTCATCCTGACTGGCAAGGATGGGTTTCCTAACCTACCTATTTTCTTTCGAATCTGAAGGTCGAGCAGAAGCAGATGTGGAATCCTATCTCGTTGTTGCATCGGTTCAATTTTGTGCTTTTTTGGACTCTACCTTCCTTGTAGTTAATCTACGACCAAAGCGGAATCAGCGGACTCAATAGTCGTTATATCTTTCAGAGGTCTCTTGTTGGTTCTGAGTAAGATGCTATAGGTCTTCATCCTTCGATGTGGAACCCTTTCTTTCGTTTAGCTGCTAAGGCCTAAACTCTCTCGGCCCGCTTCCCACGTACTAGCAGCATGAATTGGCTTTTATGACTCGCTCCTTTTGGGAAGAGATCGATTAGTGTAGTTATAAGGCTTAGCCATTTATCTGAATGAGAGTTTTTCTTAGAGCGGATATGGATTCCACCTTTCAGCTATTTCTTCCAAGGTCTTCAATAGCTGCTCTCTTGTCGGATGCCCTAGAGAATAGACCATATTCTCCGTCAGGCTTTTCACGGTCAACGAAAATTGGGATATTTATTCATCTATGATATGGTTATGGTTTATGGTATGGTTCCTACAGGGCTGAATCCAAACTTCCATAGGTCTCTTAACTGCTTTTTCGGGAAAGAGATTGATAGAGGATCTCCGCTTTTGAAGAGGGCACCGGCAACAGGCTAATCAAAGAATAGATTGATTGCATTCATATTCTTTCTGCTTAAAAAAGATGAATCTTCACTCATCGAACATGGTAGGGCTTGGCACGCTAACGCTACTACGACCGATACGAGACTGAGCTCAATCACTTGTCCCTATTTTTGAGGCCATTTCACTCTTGAACAAGGGAAAGCTCCGGAAGTCAAGACGAAAGAGAAAACAAGGGAAATAGGTTCATTCTCTAGCTAATTCATTTACGAGACTGTAAGGTAAGAAGGATGAATTCGACTCAACCTTAAACCTTTGACTCTATTCCCTGACCTGATTTAAGGGGTTTACAGTGAAAGAATGAATTGATTGAAGAATCAGACTCAGACAAGAAGAATGAGACTTTACAGTGATAGAAAGAGAAGCGAATGAACTTGATCTTTCTCCTGAACCTGACGAGAATGAAAGAAGAAGAATCAATGAATTAGCTGCTTTACTGTCGAGGAAAGACTATCGATGAATTCGACTCAACTCAAGATTAATTCGACTTTACAGTTCAAGAAGAAATTCAGGGAGAAGAAAGAAGAATCAGAGAATGAAAGAAGGGAGACGAAACTCAAGAGTCATTCTCCTGAACCTGATTGAACAAGGTCAAAAAGAGAAAGGAAAAACGAAACTCCTTATTCATTCGACTGTAAAGACCATTAATTCTGAAATTCTATCTTCTGTCTATTTTTAGGGATATTTTCGTCCATTTTTGAGGTAATTAGTTCGGAAGGAAAGAGACCTCAAACCTTTTCCTGGGAGAATCAAATGAAACATGCATTCTCCTGAACCGATATTCTCTGAGCTTATTTCTGGAGGTAAAGCTCTTTGAAGAACCTTTCTTTACAGGAGAGTAAATCAAAGAGAATTGAAAGACGAAAGCAAGACAACAAGACAAGATGAATTCTCCTTTACAGAAAGAGAAAGAAAGAAAGAGAAGCTCATTCACCTGCATTTTCTTCTTCTGCCTGAAGCTCTATTCCTTCCCTGACCGGAATTTCTTCTTTCACGAGGTAAAGCTAAATTCATTCAATCCTGAACCTATTGATTCTTTCTCCTTTTCTTTGACTGATTGAACTCGGTCTCGCTCGTGGCTTCGCCCCTTCACCTTTGTTTGACTCTATCCCCTGCCCTGATTGAACTCGGTAAAGCAGCTAATTCATTCATTTACTCATTCTCCCTGAACAGTAAAAGAGGAATCAACCGAAAACCTTCCCCTGAACTCCTGAACCTCTGCAACTCTGTCTCATTCATTGCTTCGCTCCTTCTTTCACCTTTTCCTTCTGGAACTCTGACGGACCATTAATTAATTTTTTCTATCTTCTGTCTATTTTTTTGGATAAAATCGATGCTTTACCCTATTTTTTGGGATATTTTTGGCTAGAGGTAATTCGTCAGTCAATCCTCAATGAATTAGCTTAGCTGCTTTCCGGGAGAGCTACTTACTCCTATTAAAGCAGCTTCTTCCTTTTCCGATGAATGAGCTACTTCATTCCCTGAGCTACTGAATGAAAGACTCCTTCTCCTCTAGATCCTATTTATTCAGGAACAGTAAACTCATTCACCTTCTTTCACTCATTCGACAGATTTCACTCTTTAACTCGGTAAAGCGGCTGGCTGGCTGGATGAGAAAGTGTTTCAAGACTCCTTATTCATTCTCCTTCCCCTGAACCGGATTGAACTGTAAAGTTGCTTCGCTCCTTGTTCTGTTATGGTTCGTTATTCTAAGGAAGTGATTGTGAACAAAGACTCAACTCAAGACTCAACTCAACAAGATTCATTCTCCTTTACTCTGTTTTCTTTCAGAATCAAATGAAACATTAATTCTCCTGTAAACACTCCTTATTCGACAGATTGAACTCCTGTAAAGACCATGAATTAGAAAATCCTATCCTCTCCCTATTTTTCGGGATGTTTTCCCTGATTTCACTCTTTGACACTCCCTGAACGGTAAACAAAGATGAAAAGAAAGAGTTTACGAACTGAACTCCTGAACAGTCAGTCAAGACTCAACTCAAGATGAAACCGAAAACCTTTTCCTGAACCGGAACCTTCTTGCTTGAACTCATGAACCTGATTGATTTCACTCTTAAAGACCATCAATAAAAAAAAGCTATCCTTCCCTGATTTTTTTGGCTAAAATCGATGCTTTACCCTATTTTGAGGGCTATAGGTAATTCAGTATTAAGTCAAGACGAAAGCAAGATTCATTCATTCTTTCTTTCTCTTCTCCGTAACCTGATTGAACTTCTCTTTCTCCTGAACTAGTATTACCATCAGTTATTGTGTGTGAGTTATTCTTTAACTGATCTTGATCCTGAACCTTTGACGATATTCCCTATTTTTTAGGCCATTTCACTCTTTCACAGTAACCGAGGGATGGAGGATGATTCTTTCACTCTTTGACTCGGAGGTAAAGCAGCTAATCTAATTCATTTCCTCTCCCTGAGCAGTAAAAGAAGAAGAAAGATTAATGAGACTCAACCGACCCCCTCCCCTTTTCCTGATTGAACTCGGCTCGGTAAGCTTAGCTTCTCTCCTTCTCTCCTTCTTTGACTCCTCTCCCTATGTTTTAGGCCCTTTTAGTCGGTAAAGCATATGAAATGAATTTACTCGGCTATCCTTCACCTTTAATGAGACTGAACAGGAAGGAAAGAGGTAAACTCCTGCCCCTATGGATTCTTTCTCCTTATTCCTCCTATTTATTCTTTAAGAAGGTAAAGCATATTCAGTAGCTCTTTTCTTTTACTGGGTAAAGCAGCTTCTCTCCTTCTCTCCTTCTGGAACTGTAACCTCCTCTCCTTTTCTTTTCCTATTTATTCTTTGCCTGGGTAAATGGGTGAATTCAGTACAGTAGCTCTTTTCTTTCACTCGGTAAATAGGCTGAGATTACCTTCCTTATTTTATGGGTCTCACAAGCACTAAGTTTAAGTCAGTTCTTTGCCTTAACCTCTCCTTCCCTTCTTGAACCTATTGATTCTTGAACAGTAAACTCATTAACCTCTCCCTATTTTTGAGGACATTCAACTCAAAGACAAGGTAAAAGAAAGTGTTTCAAGGAAAGAAGAAAGATGAATGATCCTGAACCTATTTCTTCTTTCACAGTAAACTAAGACTCAACTCAAGATTAATTATCAATCACTACTGAACCTATTGATTCTTTATTCCCTGAGCTACTGAACCTGAACCTGATTTCACTCTATCTTGAACAAGGTAAATGAGGATTGAATTGACTCTCTTGTAAACTCATTCACCTTCTTTCACTCGGTCTCAAGCGCACTAAGTTTAAGTCAGTTCTTTCACTCGGACACCTTTCATAAACACTTTGACTTCCCTTGCTTGCCCGGTTAATCTTTCATAAACAAGCACCTGGTGCTCCCTGAGCCCGAAGCTCCGCACTCCTGACTACTCTCGTTTATCATTATCTAGAGCTTCCCGATCCAAGGTTTCTCTGCTCCCACCTAACGGTTCACTAGGGGTTTACAAGGACATGGGATTTTAGCGTCCCAATCCTACCGCTCCGAAGAAAGCAGGGAAAGACGGAGTGCCTAGAGCAGACTGAGCGAGACAAGAGCCTGATGCTTTGAGCTTTCGGGCAGACCTGCCTTGGTCCAATCCCCAGCAGTTCACTGACCTATCACTGTCAGTCAGGGAATTTGAGACCTTGTGACCTCTATGGCATTCCTGACACCTTTTCTCGTATTCGTCTGATAATCAAAGAAAGCTCCAAGACCTTCGGGTCAAAGCTTCAACCTCTGTGCACCTGTGGCATGAAGGAATAGAAGGAAGGCTCTTTGCGAGAGAGTAGTTCATCCCGGGTCAGAGAAAAGTAGCTTCTTAGAAAGTGAGGGAGTTATAATCAAATAAGATCAAGGGCAATCCCTCCTACGATTACGATGACTGGTAACGGAGTCTCGAAAGAAAAGGAAAAGAAAGATAGAGAACCTCTTTTCTTTCTTTACACGATAGGAGGAATTGTAATTGATTGAACCATAGAACAATGGTTCTAGACCCGTAACTGAGTTAGAGAGCTGCGAATCAGGCTTTTGGAGTGGTGGCCCTTGCGGAAAGTACAAAAGAAGAGTGGAATTACCGAACAGAAGATCAAACTCACAAGCCATCTGGTAATCGCAAATCTTCTATCTTCTATGAATGATTAATGCAGACTGGTTATGTTGGTTGCCCTCCCCAAGGAATTGTATGAGCCTTTCCTGGTAGGCCTGTCTGACAGCGAGGCTTCTTGGATTGATTATCTTCTTTGTATTATACAGAAAATAACTGAACTTCCATATATTCATATATCTCAGGGCGAAGTTGATGTATGCCAAAGGGGATTGCTCTAAAATGTCGTTCAATCTCTCTGGCTAACAAAGAAAAAAGAATTTCAATTATATCCCCCCACCCCAGTTCGAAGGTTTCTCTAGAAAGAATGTTCTGGTATTCAATTATGGAAGAGGCATTTCTCAGAAAGCAATTTACTAGGCTTTCATATTCTCTATCGTTTAGTTGGAAAGGCAGTCCATATACCATTTTCCTTTCTAGTGCTCGAATTTAGCTTAGCCGATCATACCTATCTCTTTGAGAATGGGCTTACATTTTCCGAAATGGATGAGAATCTAATCTATATTACTTTTGTGTGTGAAAGATCAAACTTTGTCTACCGAATGGTTCGCTTAGGGAGAGGGACCCCCGAGCTACACCAAAACGGGTAGCTAAATGAACCGCAATCTTAGTAATTCGATCTGAGGGTCTCGTATATAAGATCACTGTTGTGCTGCATTTAGGGGCCTGATTCTTACATAATACGTATACAACTATAAGACGTATACAACGGGTTCATATTGAAGGTTTGAAAGAATCTGACTTGGGCACCAGACCTGTACTTGTCTGATCTTGCGAAGAATGCTTTTTCTAATTCTCAGTGCTTGTAAGCCTGAACATCTAACTGTAAGCGCTCTTCTATTATTGCTATCCCCGCTTTTCCTATTGGGATACCCAACCCTTCTTCTGCTATTTGCCTTGTTAGGACAGCAAGAAAGAAATCAATCC